ATGCGAGACCGTACCAAATGCCTTACTAAAGTCTAGGTATACCACATCCACTGCTTCTCCCTTATCCACAAGACTCGTTATCCTATCAAAGAAAGCTTTCAGATTGGTTTGACATGATTTGTTCTTTACAAATCCATGCTGGCTGTTCCCTATCACCTTACCACCTTCCAAGTGTTTGCAGATGATTTTCTTAATTACTTGCTCCATTATCTTCCCTGGCACAGAAGTTAAACTAACTGGTCTGTAGTTTCCTGGGTTGTTTTTATTTCTCTTTTTATAGATGGGCACCATATTTGCCCTTTTCCAGTCTTCTGGAATCTCTCCTGTCTCCCATGATTTCCCAAAGATAATAGCTAGAGGCTCAGATAACCTCCTCTATTAGCTCCTTGAGTATTCTAGGATGCATTTCATCAGGCCCTGGTGACTTGCAGGCATCTAACTTTTCTAAGTGATTTTTAACTTGTTCTTTTTTTACTTTATCTTCTAAACCTATCCCCTTCCCATTAGCATTCACTATGTTAGGCATTCCTTCAGACTTCTCGGTGAAGACCAAAACAAAGAAGTCATTAAGCATTTCTACCGTTTCCAAGTTTCCTGTTACTGTTTCTCCCTCCTTACTGAGCAGTGGGCCTACCCTGTCCTTGGTCTTCCTCTTGCTTCTAATGTATTGATAAAAAGTCTTCTTGTTGCCCTTTATTCCTGTAGCTGGTATGAGCTCATATTTTGCCTTTGCCTTTCTAATCTTGCCCCTGCATTCCTGTGTTGCTTGCCTATATTCATCCTTTGTAATCTGTCCTAGTTTCCATTTTTTATATGACTCCTTATTTTTTAGATCATGCAAGATCTCGTGGTTAAGCCAAGCTGGTCTTTTGCCACATTTTCTATCTTTCCTACCCAGCGGAATAGCTTGCTTTTGGGCCCTTAATAGTGTCCCTTGGAAAAACAGCCAACTCTCCTCAGTTGTTTTTCCCCTCAGTCTCGATTCCCATGGGACCTTACCTATCAGCTCTCTGAGCTTACCAAAATCCGCCTTCCTGAAATCCATTGTCTCTATTTTGCTGTACTCCCTTCTACCCTTCCTTAGAATTGCGAACTCTATAATTTCATGATCACTTTCACCCAAGCTGCCTTCTACTTTCAAATTCTCAACGAGTTCCTCCCTATTTGTTAAAATCAAATCTAGAACAGCTTCCCCGCTCATAGCTTTTTCAACCTTCCGAAATAAATAGTTGTCTGCAATGCAGTCCAAGAACTTATTGGATAGTCTGTGCCCTGCTGTGTTATTTTCCCAACATATATCTGGATAGTTGAAGTCCCCCATCACCACCAAATCTTGGGCTTTGGATGATTTTGTTAGTTGTTTAAAAAAAGCCTCATCCACCTGGTTAGGTGGCCTGTAGTAGACTCCTAGCATGACATCACCCTTGTTTTAAATAAAAAATATTTGCTTTGAGTTTTAAATAAAAATATTTGGTTTGTGATCATTGATTCAGAGGCCAGTATTTAGGACAATTTACTGGACTGCTAAACTGTTTCCAACCATTGTAGGCCATGGGATTTTAGACTTTGAAATTAAATTGTCCTTACTGTCACTTGCCTCCCCACCTTCCCGTGCCCCAAATTGCAGTTCTGACATGATTCATCAGTTAGTATCTCCTGAATATTCATTTGAAGAACGTAATAATGGCCATAGTGGGTCAGACCAATGGTTCATCTAGCCCAGTATCCTATTATCCAGCAGTGTCTGGTGCCAGATGCTTCAGAGGGAATGAACAGAATAGGCGATAGAGTCCAGTCCTGGCTTCTAGCAGTCAGAGGTTTAGGGACAGAGCATGGGGTTGCACCCCTGACCATCTTGGCTAACAGCCATTGATAGACCTGTTCTCCGTGAAATTATCTAATTCTTTTTGAACCCAGTTATACTTTTGACCTTCAAAATCACCTGGCAACGAGTGTCATAGGTTGACTATGCATTATGTGAAGAAGTACTTCCATATGTTTGTTTTTAAATTGACTGCCTATTAATTTCATGACGTCACCTCTGAGTCATGTGTTGCGTGAAGAGGGTAAATAACACTTCCCTATTGACTTTGTCCACACCATTTATGATATTATAGACCTCTATCATATCACCCCCCTTAGTTGTCTCTTTTCTAAGATGAACAGTCCCAATCTTTTTAATCTCTTCTCATATGAAAGCTGTCCATATCCCTTCTCATTTTAGTGGCTTTCCAATGAGATACAGCTACATCATTAGTTTCTAGGTCTAGTGGTTCTCAAAGTGACAGATTTTTAAAGCAGTGTCAGAATTCAAGGAAGTGGGAATTTGCAGTAGCGGGCAGCAAGGTAATCAAAAGAATTGTAGATATATTGTAACTGACTAGGGCATAGAAAAAATGGCTATATTGAAAAGCTCAAATTCCAGTGACAGAGAGAGAGCACTTGTTTGTACTACCAATGGTTTGCAAGGTGTCAATCTTAAAAATAATTGTCATTGGTTCCCTCAGTCTATCAATGCTTATTACTGGTCTGGGCCTGAATATTGCAAGTTCTAGACCATGGGCCCAATATAGCTTCCATTCAAAAAGATGTTTTTACTATTTGAGATTGAACATGGAAGAGGCGAACAGCCAAGAGGAAAATTAACTGATATTTGTGAGCTGTGAACTTCATTGTATGTAACTTCTCAGAAATCCACTTAAACAGTAGCAGAGATGGTCAGTGTAAAGTGAATCATGTGACTCTTTCAGGCAATGAGGAAAGGTCTGCTGGATGTGCTTCCAAAGAATTCATTAGAAGACTTGACAGCAGAAGATTTCAGGCTTTTGGTAAACGGCTGTGGTGAAGTAAACGTGCAAATGCTGATCAGCTTTACCTCTTTCAATGATGAGTCAGGTATGAAATACGTAGTCTGTTTAGGAAATGAGTTGTACAGCTAGAAATTTAGTATTATTCACCTGTCTGTCCTTTATGTAGAGATGGATAGCAAGGATAATTTTTTCAACTTTTTCTAAGCTTAAAACCAGCTCTGTTCATTGACCTTAATGAATGGCTCTAAATATAATCTGTTAAAAGGATTCTCAGTGTGCCAGCCCTATTCTTTGCCACTTTTAAGAATCTTTACCTCAAAATGGGAGAGTAAAATACACAACTCTTTCGAGGGTACAACCTCAGTATCACTATATAAATAATCCATCAGAATGCAAGGAGAGCAAATTATGGGTTGTGCTATTTTTTCCTGCCAAATCCTGGCCTGACCATATATTTAGAGTTATGATTGATGTAGTCTAATATTTTAAAGAAATATTTCATTGACCTGTTACAAACTTAAATACAGCTAGTTAGTAGATTATACAGTGTCTTAATTTTATTAGTTGTTTACACCGGTGTTCTTAAGTCTAGTCCTTACATTCAAAAGTGTTTGCGTTAGTGTTTGACATAGCACTGTCCTTGTTCCTAGTGTGCAGGTGTTGTGAGGAGGGGGTAGTGACACTAAGTTTACTTGCTGGCATGTATAAAACACGTGCTCTAAATGTTCATTGTCAGATACATTTAATTTAATTATTCTGTTTCAAACAGGAGAAAATGCTGAGAAGCTTTTGCAGTTCAAGCGTTGGTTTTGGTCCATAGTTGAGAAGATGAGTATGACAGAAAGACAAGATCTAGTAAGTTGTCCTTCCCCTGTAAAAGGTTGCTTAAGACTGTTTTTCAACAATCAGTGTTGCTTTTCAGTATTTTTTTGTTTTAATGGAAAGGTTTTCTACACTGGTAGAGTAGCAGTAGTACTCGGGAGTTTGTGCACTAGGCTTTCAACTCTTGAGACTGAATATGAAATCCAGCTTTTTTCACAAGAAAATTAATATTGGTGTATCTTTCATTGTCCATATCTCACAACTCTCAAGCATGTTTGCAGTCCCTGTTTGAGAGGTTTCACACTGAGTAACAGGTGGGCAGAAGATGAGGTTTGAATTGCATTTATAGAGGATTGGAAAAGTTTGCTTGTTATGCACTGTATTCACCCACTCTTTTAAAATGTTCTTTTGATCACCTCAGAGATGTCAACCTTCTAATTTTTGAGTGAACTCCGCAAAGAAGAAAACAAGGACTGATGTAAAAAGAGGAAAATCTAGAGCAGATTGGTTTAGGCAAAGGGAACTCGGGGTGCAATGCAGTATTCACTTTGCTGTGCAAGAGAATATTTCACACTTCTAATACTTTTCAAATAAACTCTTGGTACTGCAATTTCCATTGCTAGCTATTAATGCATTTGATATCAGTGCTGTATTTTACAGTAATTTGATTGATATAAAATGGCTAATTCGATTATATAAAAAAGTTTCTGATACACAGACATTATCCTCTTCCCAAAAGGACAGGGAATCCCAACTTCCTGCACCAAGATGTGGTTAATATTTGGAGAGTGTTGCTTCTTTTGATAAGTTGCTTTGATAAATGTGATATTATATATTTGTAGTTGAGAGAAGAGAGGAAATGACTGGGAGTATAACATTGTCGTAATAGTACACAGCACAGCCACTGAGTCTCTATACTACAAGGAATGTTTTATGATCAAGCACCATGACTGCCCTGTGACTTTCCCATTTTACTCATGTCAAAACAATGATCAGTATGTGATACCAATGTTTGTATCATGGAGTCAGTTTAAATATTTCTAGACCAGCAAAAGTTACAGCCTACTTTCTATTCTTTTAGGTTTATTTTTGGACATCAAGCCCATCATTGCCTGCCAGTGAGGAGGGATTCCAGCCCATGCCATCCATCACAATAAGACCACCAGATGACCAACATCTTCCTACAGCAAACACTTGCATTTCTCGCCTTTATGTCCCACTCTATTCCTCTAAACAGATTCTGAAACAGAAATTGTTACTCGCCATTAAGACCAAGAATTTTGGTTTTGTGTAGAGTATAAAAAGTGTGTATTGCTGTGTAATATTACTAGCTAAGTTTTGTAGATTTTTCCATTTGTCTATAAAAGTTTATGAAAGTTAATGCTGTCATACCCCTGGTGGTACTTTATTGATTAAATGCAAACATTCCTGTACTAAGTTTGTAACCTACAGGCCTAAGGAGCACTAGCAATGTTTGACTGTAACAGTTCGCTAGTCAATAACTTCTTGGCCTAACCCCAGCCAAAGATGACAGCAGAACAATATAATTTACACTGTGATTTATCTTTTTGCTGAGGGAAAATATGTAAAATGTTCAGAAAATTCACTGCTGCCTTTGTGAAAAGTGTTTCAGCAAAGGTTCTTGTATAGAGGGAGTAGGGAATTTCAAAATAAAAAATTAAGTATGTTCTGTGTTTTATTTTAACTTTTTTTATGGTGTTTAATTTGTGGTTGGCTGCAGTTGTGTATCATGTATATTGAACTTGTAAAAAGTTCTTCACAGTTCAGATCTAAGAGTTGGAATCATTCACTTTTACTTATGAAACCACTTTCATTGCAATTTCTGTTCTGATTGCATTGAACTCTGGCACATTAGATCCCATCACTAATATTTTGCATGTAATCTGTACCTTTAGTGAGGTTTTTTGTACATATGATGAGGCCAATGCACATTATTTCATAGTTCACAATCAACATTTTTGTATCCCTATTTCAGTAAGCAGACAGTCAGGAGATTGTTCCACTTCCAGTTCTAACTAGACACTTGTACTGCGGTATCTCAACTGTGTAAACTCAGCCTGGGCACTTTCTGGTAACTGTAAAATGTTTATAAGATCATGATTATTGAAGATACATTTTGAAAAATTTTAATGTTCGTGAGCAGCTTAACTACTTTTGTATCTAGCCTTTTTTAAGTATCTTGTTACAGTTTTTAATAAAGAAATTATAGACAAAATACCAAGTCATATTGAAGACACAATAGTTTTTATTTATGTAACTCTGAATATTTTAGCTTAACAGCCTACACCAGACAGTTGTCCATTAAAAATCTCAATTTCTTAACTGAAAAATTGATCTGCATCTGCACTATAAAACAAATAAATAATGGAAGCAATTCAGCCCACATTTTACAGTTAGCAGAGAATCCTGAATGGAGCGAGCCAGGCAACCCCTTCTCTTCACAAAAATGCAGAATTTAAGGGAAAGTTTCTCCCCAAAAATCAAAATTGATTATGATGGAATAAATCTGCAAATTCATTGTAGTGGGACCTACTGTATGTCCACTCTTTTTAATAAAGAGATTATTGGTTTTACAAGGGTAGTCTTTGAACATATAGTAGCCTAGTACTTTTGTCATTAAATTCTTAATGCTTTAATGATTTCCATTATAAATGTTGGAAGGCCATTAGTAAAGAAAAAGGAGCAACTTTACCCTTGCTATCAAATTCTGATGCTTACTAAGACTTAATAGACTAGACTGATGATGATGGGTTTTGATGAAAGACTTTGTTCTCCTACTTTTCCCTGCATTCTGTGACTCCATATTGCAATGACCTTTCCTTGCTGAGGGGTGCTACACTGGTTTTCCACCAAAATTGGTCAATGCCACTTTGAGTGCCAAGCGGAGGTGGATGGCCAGAAGTGACCTAAACTCCTTCCTTTTTCCACCCTACCTAAAAATGCAGCATCCTGCTTCTGTAGCACTTCTAACTCTTGCATGCATGGAGGAGGGCTTGGGACCATAACTCTCATCACCATGTGTGCCACTTTGACTCTGAAGACTGTTTTATAAGGCTAACTCTTCTAGACTTGCTTAGTTAAGCTGCAGATGCACCAAGTAGGAATATTTCCACATGTATTAATGAAATAATAGCATTCCCAAGAACAGCCCTCATAGGCAGGGGGAGGTTTCAAGTGGTTAGGTAATGGGGACTGGGAGTCTGGCATTTTGGATTCCGTTCCTGGATCTGCCACTGTGACCTTCAGCAAGTTATTTTAGACAAACCCTCAGCTCAAAGACTTAAACACGACCTGTATTGCTTTTACTAGAGTGGTGTGTAGTTAAAGCAGTACAACCTCCCTGATGTGGGTGCAGTTATATATTTGGTATAAAGGTGCTTTATACCAGTATAGCTATTCCTGTATGGGAAGGGGAATACACTATACACTATACAGGTATAAGGCACCTTTATACCAGTATAAAGTTGTACCAGTATAAATACTTCAGTAAAAAAAAAAATCACAGCCCTAACTGAAATAGTTCATATTGGTACAAAAACTGTAGATCAGGCCTCAGATTCACAGTCCATAAAATAAAGAAGCTGCCTCCCTCACAGAAGCTTTGTGAGGCTTAATGATGTAAAACTCATCCAAGATCTTCTGATCAAAGGCCGTATGTAAGTGTAAAGTAGTGTGTATATATGTATTGTGTGTATATGTATAAAAATGTATGTGTATGTATAACATATAAATATATGTTATATGTATATATATTTCTGTATATAGCATAAACATTTTTTAAAAACCTGTACTGTATAGCTAGGCAGAAATTACACAGGTAACTAGTCTTATACAGTAGTTCACCATATATACACAACCAAGGCATTCTGATGACATAAGCAGAGGGGTTAGCCAGAATAATTTATGTTGCCATCATTGACTTGAAATGTGTATGTTGCTTTATAAAATAGTTTTTCTCTGTATGGTATATTTAAGCAATATCAAGGTTTTTAATAAGAAAAATGTTTATTAAAATCATACACCTTGTTTCCCTTTGACTTAAGCCCTTCTGTTAGTTTATTTTTAAGATGCGCTAGAGAAATAAAAGAAAAAAAGGAGAAAAGTTTGTAATATTTCAGTTTTATGGCCTAATTCCTCAAGTGTTCATAATTCTCTAAGTAGTACAGCAGCCGCCAATAAAATGTCAACAAGTCAATAGTTGGTTCCTATTGTAATGATATAACACATCATGCTAACCTGACAAATTCTGGATTTTAATGGTAGTCACTAATGTTCAAGTAATCATACATGTTGCCCAAGTTAAATTCCATGTTGCAACCCCATTCTGGGATTCTAGATTTTAAAAAATGATCTGGGTTTTTCCTCATACTTAGCTGGTTTAATTTCCCAGTTTGGCTTTGAAATGACAACTGTTTTTTGCTATTGCAAGTGAGATTTCTGTTCGTTAAATCTAAATGTGGAGATAAGAACAATAGACTAGAAAATTTGCAAGCAAAAGTAAAATGTATTTCTTGCAGAATTTTAGTAATTTCAAACAGACATGAGAAACTGGACTTTACTTTTTCCTTCCAAAGATAAGTATGGGGTTTTTTTATTGTAAAAGCATGGACTATATACAAAACTAATGGGGTATTCTGATGTACTTAGAATTCACCCATCCAAAGATGAGCAAGGGCAGAAAATGTTAAAATGCCCTTCATCTTTAATTCTATCATTCAAATAGGGGAAAAAATGATGTCGGTCATCCAGTCCATCTCCCTGTAGTTGCTTTACTGTTATCTGGGGTAGGTACATCTTCTAGGTATCTATTGATGGGGTCTTTTGTAACAGCCCTTGGAATACCATTCCACAGTATAATGTATCCCAGAATCAGGAAGCTTTCCCTGCTAGTCTACCTAAAATTTCCTTTTGTAGTGTCATCCTGTCATAACCAAAATTATACACCTTCCACTATCCTAAATAGCTCCTTTCCATTCTGTTTACACTCTTCAGATGTTCATAGATTTACCTCTCCCTTTTGTCTCTTGACCAAGTTATGTATATTTAACTTTTAATTTTTTCTCATTCATCAGTCCTTCCAGCCCTCTTTAAATTATTGCTGTTTTTCTCTGAACTCCCTCCAGTTTCTTTCTACTAGTGGTTTGCCCAGGACTGATTGCGATACAGTCAAATCCCCAGTTATCCAAATTTCAGTTTATCTGACATTTGTCCCAAATCCAAATGTTCATAAACAAATTTCAGTTTTATATCTTAAACAGATCATATGAAGTTTTTAGTTGGCCCTCAAAGACATCTGGATAATTGAAATGGAATCATGTGCCTGCTGCAGCTGCACTAGAACTGTGTAGAGAAGACCGTACATTCCTGATTTGTGAAATGTCTCTCTGCACCCCAAAACTGCAGCCGCCTTTTTTGTTGCCACCAATTACATTGCAAACTATTCCCTACGGTAGACATCTTTTAACACTGGATTCTCCCTCTTGTTGGGTGCGTCATATTTTCCCTAATATTTTTAACTTGCCTGTCCTAGTTTAAAATTTCCTATTATTTTGTGTTGAAACTGTCTTACAAATTTTGTCACTGAACAAATGACTCAGACATGCTGAATTCCTTGTGTTAGATCAGTGTTTCTCAACCATTTTTATACCAGGGACCATCTCGTTGCCTTCCTAAACTGTGTCAGAGAGATCTCAGGCCAGTGCCAATCCACAGACTGGTCATTGAGAAACACTGTGTTAGATAACTGAAAAATTACTTTCCATGAATTTTCAGCTTTTGATTGGAAGGTTTTCTGTGAAATACTTCCAGGAAGTAATTGAGAATTGTTGTGGTGGGGTTTGGGGGAAATCCCTCAAGATTTGATTTGGGAGGGAAGATGCTTGTGGTTAAAGTATAGAACTGGAAGCCAAGAGCAACCTGGAATTATACCCAATTCCACCATGGGCTTTCTTTGTAACATTCTACACACATCTCTATGCCGCAGCTTTCTGATCTGTAGAATTAAGAATACTTCCTTACCTCCCATAGGAAATGGGAAATGACTGCCTAGGAAGGAGTACTGTGGAAAGGGATCTGAAGGTCATAGTGGACCACAAGCTAAACATGAGTCAACAGTGTAACGCTTGTCCCCAAAAAACAAACAAACAAACAAAAAAACACCAACATCCTTCTGGGATGTTTTAGCAGGAGTGTTGTAAGCAAGAGATGAGAAGTAATTCTTCTGCTCTAATCCGCACTGATTGGGCCTCAACTGGAGTATTGTGTCCAGTTCTGGGCGCCACATTTCAGGAAAGATGTGGACAAATTGGAGAAAGTCCAGAGAACAGCAACAAAAATGAGTAAAGGTCTAGAAAACATGACCTAGGAGGGAAGATTGAAAAAAATTGGGTTTGTTTAGTCGGGAAAAGAGAAGACGGAGGGGACATAACAGTTTTCAAGTACATAAAAGGTTGTTACAAGGAGCAGGGAGAAAAATTGTTCTTAACCAGTGAGGATGGGACAAGAAGCAATGGGCTTAAATTGCAACAAGGGAGGTTTAGGAAGTTTTTCCTAATGTCCAACCTAACTGTCAGGGTGGCTAAGCACTGGAATAAATTGACTAGGGAGGTTGTGGAATCTCCATCATTGGAGATTTTTAAGAGCAGGTTAGGCAAACACCTATTAGGAATGGTCTAGATAATACTT